GGAGCGACCACAATTCGCTTGGCTCTCTTTGTAACGACCCCTCTCCCTAGCCCACATTCCACAACTCTGAACTCCAATCTCCAGCTCCGTTTTCTTGGATCTCAACTTGGCTAAGTTTTCTCCAAAATAACGTCCCTGGTGTTGATACTGACAGGTCGACAGCCATTTTTTAGCCTCCTCCTCCATCTCCATGCTATATTTCTGGCAGAGAAAACATATCACGGACAGATCCATCAATAAATATTATATATATATATATATATATATATATATATATATATATATATATATATATATATATATATATATATATAATGGATAGACGCGGGAAGATACACGGACATACCAGACAACATAACAGTCAAAAACCTTAACATGCAGAGTGTCGAGCCTTTCACCACCAAATGACGACAGCGCGTCGCTGCAGGACAAGTGTGCGCATGACCAACCAGATACCCTTAAAAAGGGGTGTCTTTATTAGCCACATCTATCGTACAGCTTGAAACCATAATTGTGGTATACGAACATACTTCGGTCAAAATGGACGTTAGGCAGCGGCACTGTTCGAAACAGAGGCAAATTTTTTGCTTCTGACGGACGGTGGCCGATGCATTTTTGCTCCATTTGTAGACTGGATATAGTTTCGTCGCCCAGCTTCTGAGTTGAATGCATGGCGTGACCCTGTGAGCTGCGGATTGCATTTGGAATGTCTTTTCGACTGTGACCAACGTGTTGGTGTGAATTGTAGATTCAGAAAATGGCGCGATGCCTGTCGTGCAGTGTTGTGGTGCCCGTATGTGATTAAAATTGATCGCGTGGGCAACTGCTGATCTGTTGGCGACTTCTGCTACCATCAATGATGAGCTGCAATTCTAATACTGTGATAAACATTCTGTGTGTTTTTCGTTGGCACAGGAGCGGAGCAAAGATGGGGTGACCAGTTTGCTATAAAGCTGAAACTAAGACTACCAGACTACCAGACTACCAGACTACCAGACTACCAGACTACCAGACTACCAGACTACCAGACTACCAGACTACCAGACTACCAGACTACCAGACTACCAAACTACCAGTATAAAACAATTGAAATAACACCTTTGTGTCAAAAAATGCATACTAGTCAAACATAAGCTCGAATAACACACACTTTCACAACTGTTATAAACACATCAGATCGTACCTTCATGTGTAATAGTATTCTGCTTTTTCATCTTCTTCGTGTTCACCTTCTGTAAACTCCGGTGGAAAGTTCTGGTTGTTCGTCCACTTCTAGACTTTTGTTTTGTATCAGTACCTGAATTTTGAATGTCTCTGTGTTCACCGGCTGTAAACTCCGGTGGAAAGCTAAGGTTGTTCGTTCACTTCTAGACTTTGGTCTTGTATCAGTGCCTGAGTTTTGCGTGCTCATCTGTTTTATTTTACAGATCTGGCTTATTTGTTTGCTTTTCGCCTCATGGATAGATGCCCTTTCACTTCAAATGAAACATTCCTAAGTGGTCGACTCTTTCAATATGCTTGTTAGGGATCAGTGCGTCCATTCTCCCCCCACCCGCCTTTTTTTCCAGAATTGGACCCTAAAAACCCCTCCCCAGCGCCCCCCCCCCTTTTTTTCGCACCCCAACGGGGATCTAGTTTTCATTGATTATTCAACGGAAGAGATTTCATTGGTCGGTTATATTGTGGTATACGTAATACACAGAAATAAATGGTTTAGGGACCTTTAAGATATTTGAAACAGTTTGTATTTTCTTTTTCTACGATCAGTAAACAATCATTTTTTTTGTTATTCCTGGGACCTCCGGCAGTGTATTGGCTAGATACCAGCATGTTGGCCTGAAGACTGTGGAATCGAATCATCAGTGAGAAGAATTCTTTTGTAATTGACCTCTGCCACTAGGTCGACTCATCTTTAAATGACTACTAGGAAATGTCCTGCGAACTAAAGGCGGTCACATGCGGTGTTGACTACTAGAAAAAAATTTAAATGCTCTGTAATAATAATTATTATTATTATCTGTTTAGAGGCTAATACGTACAATACATAATTCACAACATAATTAAATATATAAACATCTCCCCATGTGGGCTCCAGGGCCCTATTACAGGGAAAGTAAGAAGAGACCCACTGCCTACCCAAAAGCATGTGGTAAGAGTCGACTAATTGGGAAATCGGAGAGCATCTGCCTGGGGGGTAAGGAACCAGCAGTCTGCAAACAAATAAGTCAGATCTGTAAAACGGATGCACACGCAACACTCAAGTTCTGGAACAGGACTGCAGTCAAGAAGTGGATGAAGAACCAGAACTTTCTGCCAGAGTTTACAGCTGGTGAATGCGAAAAAGAATAAAATATAAACATCTCTTAGTCCCCTTGTAAATTTTCTCGGGAACAGTTTTACAGTCTCGCTAGAAACACTTACAGCCGCCAGCTGTTACGTGTGCACAATAGTGCAACCAGAATATCCTTTCTCTGGAGCTTACCACAATACAAGACGGCCAAAATGCCCGATAGCCAGCTGAAGTTCTGAACAGTTATTTGTTTCTAGCTAAATTTTGCTCCTACAAATTCCCTATTCCGTACCGGGAGTTCGAGTGTTCAGTCGCCCAGCATCTAAGCTTAGTGCATGGTGCGGCCCTATGAGTTGTGGGTTTTGTGTGAAATCTGTGCGTATTTTTTCCCTTTTGTGACTGTAGCATGTTGTTGATTTTTTTTTAATAACAGGAGGCCGATTACGTTCAGACTGGCATGTAATTTTGTGGGGGCAATGCCAGTTCAAAGATTGACTGTTTGCACCAGCAGTAAGCTGTAATTCTGGTGTGGGAACGTTAGTGTTAGCACATCCGACAGCTGCCTTATACATTTTTTACTTTACGTATAGCTTCAAGATTTTGCTAGGAAAGACAACATTTTTACTGATTTTCAAATGGTACGGTGAATGGCATTTTATACCATTTTTAATAGCACTTCTTCTTCAGCGATCTCTGGTTATGCGCATAATCCACTGTGGGCCATAAACTGGAATGTCTTTTCAAAGTCAGTTAGGTTTCCCCAATGCTTAGTTGTCAGTTCTACTGGGCTTTGCCATATGTTGCCACGCAGCTCCGCCAAGAGAGGACAGTCTTGCAGGACATGTTCTGGAGTCTGTTCAGCACGAAGACACTGGCAGCGAGCTGTTTGGCTCATACCTAATTTATATGAGTGTTTATTGAGTCTGCAGTGTCCAGTAAGTAAGCAAAAAACTGTGACTTGGTCTGTTCTGTTCAGGTGTTTCAGAAAATCTTTTTCGTAGTTGTAAGCAGTGTTGGTTTTCCAATATGTTTCTGATTTTCTCTTAATGAGAGTTTTGACTTCTGGAAAAGATAGTGGCTTGTAGGTATGTGGTTTGTTACTGCCTTCCTTGGCTAAAGCATCAGCGCTTTCATTGCCTTTGATTTCACAGTGAGATGGAATCCACTGCAAGTGAGTTTCTGCCTTTTTTGACAATTTAGCAAGTTCTTTTGTTAGACTGTATAGTGTGCTGTCGGTAGGTTTGGACTCAAGAGTCTGTAAAGCTGACAGTGAGTCAGTGAGAAAGTCTATCCTGCCTGCGGTGATTTGCAGATTGTTCATATACTGTGCTGCCATCAGTAGGGTTCGTACGGTGGGGGCTGCCAGAGACACAGTTGTGGCATCTGGGTGTTTTATGTAAACACCTGCTCCACCATTCGTAGTTGCCTCTTATGCTGATCCATCTGTGTAGGTTCTTGTCCAGCTGTCCTGTGGGAACATGTTGTTGAGGTGTTTCATTGTGAGTGTTTTCTTCACTAAAGCGGGCTCAGCAACTTCGTTTCCCGGGTTCGGGATGGATGCTGACACATTGAGTGTCACAAATTCTGAGTCCCAGCGATAGAAAGATCTTCAGGTGTACATTGTTTGTTAAGTAGTGAAGATAATGAATTTCCGAATTGCTAAGTTAGATTGTTTAGGCTTGTGCACTTTATTCGGTTCTTTCTCCTGGCTACCAATTTTTCGTGTAGTGGGTGGTTTAGCATTCTCTTCATTTTTTTTCGCATGTAGAATTGATTTTGTCCTTCTTCTTTCTTCTAAGGGGAGGATGTTGGCTGCCGTTTCCATTTCTACAATAGGTGTAGATTTGATGGCTCCCAGAATTGTACGCAGACTTCGGTTTTGCGTTTTGTCTAGTACCTGTTTATTGGAATGGACTGCTGTTATCCACAAAAATGATGCGTATTCGAGAGTTGGTCTGACTGTGCCGGTGTATACCTGCTTCAAGATACAACTGTCTGCTCCCCAAGTGGTGCCTGCCAATTTCTTCATCCCACCTTGTTTTTTCATAGCTTTTTTTTTTTTTTTTAGTTTCCAGTATGTGATGTTTCCAAGCAGCCAGAAGAGCTAGAAACAGAACCTTATATCTCCCTCGACACCCACAGTGGTAAAAGAGGAAGTGAAGAAGAAGAAGAAGAAGAAAATGTTTCCATGTCAGACGACTGTCAAGCTTGACTTCCAGGAAGGCTGGAGTATTGGGGCGTGGAACAGCATCATTGTTGAATTTTAATGTAAACTTTGCCTCCTTTGTAGACAATGAGAAGAGTGTTGCTACAGTTTTGTTCTTGTTTCAGTAGCACAGGAAGGGAGCACTTACGTGGGGACCGTCTGCAGTTATGCTGGAAAACTCGAGTTTATTGACTGGCTGGCACCTTTCTGTCCTTCCAGACGATAGTGTTCTATAGCGGCAGGAATGAAGCTCATCCTCTCCATCATGCAAAGCCTGCGCAGTTTTGTAGACTTTATGTTGTCCATGTATTATGATCCCTTTCTCGATCTGCCTTGTGTACTCCAAAGGAAACGTAAAACCAGTACGTTAGCAGACTCAATGACAACCAGCTAATTAACTAGGACTGTGTAGATTTGAATGGTCCTAATCCTGAGGATTTAGGGCCCATCTGGTCAGTGTAGTCACTACGAAATAAGCATGTGTACTAACAACAGAGTGAATAAAAAATGAATCAATAACTATGACATCACTGCTTTTGGGACATTCCAATACATCACATTCTCATACGTGCTCTGTCCTCTTCTTTAGTAGCCAAAGAAGAGCCCATAATACAAGATTTCACAGCCCAGATGAGTGGCAGCAGTTCGCTACCTTGCACACCTGAATGTGGGTATAAAAACCCTTTGCAGTTGGAAATCGAAAAATTAGTTGCGTATCCTTTACAGGACGTTGCAGAACCAACCCCAGCACTTTCTGGCTGTTGTGGTTTTCTAGGTAAATTTACGTCCAGTAGTTTGCCATCGCTTCTGGACGGTCGGCCCTCGGTACCAAAGTCGAAACCATCGCAACACAAACCGTCCGCCGCCGGGATCGAACCCAGCACCCCGACATTACGAAGCGCGTTCGCAACGCCTAGGCCACAGATGCTGATGGAAATCGAAAAGAGTAGCCTAAGGGCAACATTTGAAGTTAAAATTCTACCCAGAGTATTTTAGGATCCTCGCAGGTGCTACAGGGCCTGTGCACTGTGCTGAGCTTCTTCGGACTTATACTGAAGTTAGAAGAAGAAAAGAGCACTTTTAGGTTACACCCGAGTGCCATGATATTGATCCGTTGTTCAAAACCTCAAACCTCCCGTGTGCCTGTTGCTGTGCTGTAGTCACTGGTGCGATCCCTGGAGATGGGTTTCTGCTCTGTGAAGCTCAAGGGTCAAGCCGCTACATCGCCACCACTGTCCTTTTAAGGAGGAAACTTCTACCCCTCCTCTTATATTTGGGGAAAAAGGGGTAAAGCTCATGGTCTTGGTGCCCCTTGTGCCGGGGTTGTCATAAGATTGGTTGTCGGCTTTCTCTGAAACGTAAAATATTGTTACTGAACGTAAAAACTGACCACACACGACAAACAAATGCCGTAACTGGTTTGTGGCGCGACTGCAACCGTAATGAAAGCTGAAACATGTTGGTCATTTACAGCGCTGTGGCGGATTGAACAAAAATAATAGCAGAAGGCATCGTACCAGGAAGGAGGGGCAGGGGCCGACTAACACCAAGAAAGGTACAGGATATAACTGACTACTTGAATGTGAAATTACACGACGCGGGAGAGCTGGCGAGAGACTGAGTGTCTTTTATTCAGACCGTGATAAGAACGACGCTCTGCAAAGGACCTGCTACATGATGATAATGATGCAACTGCAAGGCTCAGAAAGGGGAAAAAAAACATTTTAACACTGAATACAGTGTTCTACTGACCAGCGGTGGCATGTAACAAGCGTCCACCTGCCCGCGAATCTTATTATGACAGTCCACAATCGCCTGCCTTTCTGTCGGTCCCCATCTTATGTTTTGCGAGCGACACTCAGCCACAAAAATGGCCATAAGCAGCAGTTTCCGGAAGTCCATAGCCAGCTTGTAATAGAAATAAAAAGACACAAAATGTCAAAAAAATGTAAATGACCCTTTGCACGCCTTGGGGGCGTAGTGGACATGTAGAGCTTGGTCTATATTTTATATACCAATCAGCACTAAGTTGGTGATATGGTCAGCAACACGCCGGCCGCCTTTACGTCTCAGGACTTTATCTGGTAACCATTTAAGGCTAGGTCACCCTCGGAGCCAAGGTCATTGTTAAAAAAGTCTGGTTCAAGACCTAAACCCATGGCCTTCAGACATGCAGGCGAGAAACCCCGCCACGGCAGCTCTCTGATTTTATATAACTTTAAACCTACTTGTACACAATTGAGAAATGGTGCCTAGCAATTTACAGTTTACTTCATAAATTGTCATCATCGTGTCTTGATGCCTTGGGTTAGCGATCGTCCCACAGCACATCATTTGATCTCCATAAAATAAGTATCTGTTTCAATGCTGACATCCTTCTATTGTTCTTCTTGCCTAAAAGATTTTATTTTTTTTTTATTCAGCTCTTTTCAGCGTCAGGCTTTGGAGAGGCATCGGTTGGGATCATTGATGTGTGCTATGTCGATCTTTGTATTCACGACCTCGGAAAATCCAACTATCAAAAGCCTGCGTGGCCGACCTCTAGTCTGCTTCTGTTGTGTCTAAGCGACGTGGCTCTCTGTGTTGCACTATTTGTTGAGAGTCTTGACATTTGTCTGAGCTATTTGATCTGTTGTCTCCTGATGTCGTTTTTTTTTTTTTTTTTCAGGTTCTGCCCCTACTTGTTTTCTGCTATCGTCATGTATGATTCTAAATGAAATTAGATCAAATCTCAGCCGGTCTGAGGAGGGACGAAAGGTACACAGTAAGAGTTCGCCGTCGAAGTAGGCGCAAGAGGTCTCGTTTCCACTTCACTCTACAATGTGGTTAAGCAACTAGGCTTACGAGTTAATGAACGCAAACGGACACTTAAACAGCTGGGCGAGGTTGCTGAGAGGGCCTTGAGCTAGCTTTGGACACAACGCAACAACGTAGGGGACGGGCCTCGGTGAACTGGTCCGAGTGTCTAGTGGAAAAGAGTTTCTTATCCCTTAAAGTCCATCGTGTCCGAATTGTCTGCCAGTGTCCCTCTGCCACCTGTTAACAAAGTCCAACATGTGTCCGGTAAACCAATCGTAAGCTTGCCGCTCGGTCGTCTAGGTATACAGACTGCTTTGATTATACTACCGCGACGACTTCTTATCCCACAGTACCTTCTGAAAAATCACCAATTTGTCTTGTCCCTGTCCGAACAACATCCGGTAATTGGTGCAATAGGGGAAACCAACCCTGAGCTTCGTGAACTCAGGTGGGCCCACTCTCTGAAAATGTCAAGGAGCTCGTGGCCCGAAACATTTGTCGACGAGAGGTTACTTCTACTGATGATTGGTAGACCCCTGCTGTACATGCTCCCCTGTGGAGTTTCTTCTTATTGCTCGAAGAAACATTATTTCATGCCATTACAAAAAGCCATCAAGCAAATCAATTTTTTTCTCCTGGTGTCTTCCTTCATCTCTCCTTATGTAATTCTTTCTTGTTGTCACATGTTCCAGCTTTGCTTTTCTGATAATGATGCAAATAAGTGACTGCTTTTTTTTTTTTTTTTTTTTTTTGATTAGCTGTCTTCGGATCGTAGCCTCTTTTTTTTTTAAACATCGTATGCTCCGTTCCTCTGTCCAAGGAATGTCACTCATGCATCTGTGAAACAAAGTCTCGGAAAAAAATTATCAATGATTCATAAACAGCGTTAAATCTGGTTCGGTCCAGGAAGCGGGAATTCATTCTCTGCCAGTCAGTGACAGAGAATTAGTGCATGAAGTGTTTACAAAATCAAGTTAGTTCATATAAGAAGGTAGAAGTTTAAGTTCAAGTTTATATATATATAGTAAGAGTAGATGACCCTTTTCCACGTCTTCAGGCATATTAGATATATAGGGCTAGACCTATATTTTATTTATATAATGGCACTTGGTGGGTGATGTGGTCAGCAGTAGGCAGGCCGCCTTTACTTTACAGGACTGTACGTGGTACCCACTCAAGGCTGGGGTCGACCTGGAAGCCAATGTCATTTTTGAAGAATAAAAGTCCGGACTACGTCAGGACCCGAACTCACGACCTTCCGATCTAATCATTAGACTGCGGCGGCTCCCATATATATATATATATATATATATATATATATATATATATATATATATATATATATATATATATATATATATATATATTATATATATATATATATATATATATATATATATAGAGAGAGAGAGAGAGAGAGACATGGGTAAAAATGATAAACAGTAAATGTTCTTCTTCTTGTTCTTTCGTTTGTCTGATATGACTGCGTCCCAATATGGGATGCAATATGTTTTTTAAGCCCCAACGGGGCTGTTATCAATGGTCCTGGAACTTGCTCATGGGAGATTCTCATCTGAATCGTAGCACTTTGTATCACCAGGAGTTATTCGCTTGCTGTGCGCTTCTGGTGGGATTGAACATCACTTACTCACTCGTTCACCTAAAATAGATATCTATATCTGCAATGTTGTCTCTAGTATAAATGTTGCTGTCATTTTGACCAAAAAAAAACTTTCTTCACATCCTAAGTCTGTGTAGGCGCATGTTAGCTCGCTAGAGTAAGAAGAAGAAAGATGAGGAAGAGGAGGGAGACAAATGTATTCGTATCCTATGCTCCATCCTTATGAATAAGTTTAAATTCCACCTGACCGAATTCGTTACACACTATCTTATCACGGTAGACCTTCGTGGCGAAGTGGTCGGGCCGTTTACGTCGCGCTCTGGAAATCATGGGATCGTTTCAACCGCGCATCTTTCAGTTCACAAGTGTAGTTTTTACGAAGATTCTTAGGAAAAGAGGGGGTCGTCGCTGAAGCTACTGAGATGTGGCTATCAGTGACGCTTATCAAAGGGCGGTTAGACTGAAACTGAAACACGTCAGTTAACACCCGGTACAATAAAGTCAATTCTCTCTACTTGAACTTTAGTATTTTATCTTAAATACACATTGATTCGGATTTTCCCTATTTCGTTTCTAAAGCTCCATTGGGGGCAGAGACGGCGATGTACTCACTGTAATATTTACTTTGTAAATAGCAACTAATTAGGTTTGTTTCTTTCAAAGGCATCTACTTGATATATAAGGAATTAACAGTCTGCATACAAATAAGCCAGAGCTGTAAACGGATGCGCGAGGTTCACGGAAGTGAACAAACAATCAAAATGTTTTGCCGGAGTTTACAGACAACGCGAAGAAGAAGAAGATTCTGATTCAGTCCCAGAAAACGACAGAATTTATGGCTTCTACAGTTGACCCTGTCTCATTTACCCTGTCAGTTTCAAGTTCTTATCACGCATTTATTGGTTAATGCTAATCGCCTACCTAATTCTCTCTCTCTCTCTCTCTCTCTCTCTCTCTCTCTCTCTCTCTCTCTCTCTCTCTCTCTCTTTTTTTTTTTTTTTTCTCTTCTCTCTCTCTCTCTCTCACACACACACACTAACACACACACATTCAGTTTAATATATAGAAACACATATTTGAGTTAACGTAAATCAATATAACTGTTGAGGATAGAATAAGGGCACACACACGCACACGCACGCGCGCACACACACACACACACACATTTGGTGGTTCAAATATTACACGTTCGCAGATGATAATAGCCATAATAATTCTCATTGTCTGATCTGGGGCCCCATTTTAAGGGCTAAAAAGTTAGTTGAATATCCTTTACAGGACGTTGCAGAGCCAATCCCAGCATTTTTTTTGGCTGTTGTGGTTTTTCTAGGCAAATTAGCGTCTAGTAGTTTGCCATTTCTTTCTGGACGGTTGGCTTCTCGATACCACTGTCGAAACCAACCCAAAGCGCAAGGCAACTGTGATCGAAACCTGCACCCCGCATTACAAAGCGCGTTCGCCACGCCTAAGCCACAGAAGATACCAACAAGCATGTCGTAGAAGTTACCAATTATGGGTATTTCCTTTGAAGTTGGAGTGCATCTGCTTGAGAGGCGAGGAACCAAAGTCGGTTTTCAAAAGAAGAAGAAGAAGAAAAAGAAGAAGAAGAAGAAGAAGAAGAAGAAGAGCAGCAACAACAACGGTGATGAGGCCCGTGGGGGTAGGGGAGAATCGACTTAATTCTTCCTAACAATTGTTTTGTAGTAGGCGACTAAGGTTGGGCCCTAATTAACGTCAGCCTTAAATAGGTACCAGCTCAAGTCCTGAGAAGTAAATAGGTCAGAATGATGTGTCTGTAAAATAAAGCTCTAGCCCTAGATGCTTAATACGCGTGAAGGTATAGAAAGGATTCTTTACTTACTTGATTATTGTTTGGGGCCGAAAACACGATCATGAAATATGATTATCACGCCTGTCTATTATACAGTACTATCTTTTGGAAAGACGTCTACACAGACACACAAACACAGACACACACACACACACACACACTGTCTTTCAATCACACACACATACACACACACATACACACACACATACACACACATACACATACACACACATACACACATACACACACACACATACACACACACACATGCAAACGGCGCTGTAAACAGAAGTCTTGATCCATCTCGCGGACGAAAGGCCTTATGGCCAGTGCAATAACCACAGAGTATGCAGCTGTAAACAAATGTCCATCACCTAACGGAGGGTTAGAAGGGCAGCCCAGGGCTCTAACAAATACGGTCATTGCTGCCTTCATGTTGCAGAACCAACCCTAACAGCCCCTGGCTGTTGTGTGGTTTCTCTAGGCAATATAAGTCCAGTAGTTTGCCATTGCTTCTGGACGGTCGGCTTTCTTGATACCGCTGTCGAAACCAACGCAGGGCGCAGTGCCCGCAGCTGGGATCGAACCTGGCATCCCGGCATTACGAAGCGAAGCGTTCGCATCGACTTAGCCACAGAGCCGACTGCCTTCATGTACCGTTTCCTAACGTCGTTGTAGGACAAATCGTCTTATGCCCGAGAATCAGGTTCTGAATCTAACCAATACAGCAAGAAGAAAACGCGTTAATGTGTTTCTAAAGTATGTCAGATACTCGCATGCATATAAGCAAATACAACTTTGGTGACCAGGTCACCCACTGGCTCACCGGTAGACGACTTCGTCGCCGGTCGGGACAGTATTTGGGTCTGTTTCCTTTGATCGCATCAAAACTGCAGGAATCCTTTTCAGGGCTCTTGGTGGCGTGCAACGCTAAGCCCTTTTTTGTGGCACACAAAACCTAGTCACAATTATAACGTTAAACTCCCACTTCGGGGATGTTGCTTGAATGTGACGTTTTTTTTTTTTTTTTTTTTATTTAAACAAAGCATCGAATTGGAAACAAATACAGTTAGAATTTATTTACTCTGTAAAATACTTACTAACCTTATCAGATCAGTGCTACCGTCAGAAAAAAAGATGGGTATATCCTAATGACGTTTTACACAAGCACCACTTGGAGATTGCAAAGGATGGATTATCTATTATCCAGAAACATCGGTAGTATCAGCAAGCTCTGAAGACTTCACCTCCGAGTATTATCGACCTAAAACTTCTCAAATTATATACTTACTTTAGCCGTTCATTTTCGTAGCTTCCCTGCTGTGAATAAATAACAAATGCTGCCGAATATTTGGACACTGAAGCCCGTCAAGACTGCCAACCCTCTTTTGTGTGCGTGAATTCCGATTAGGAGAGATAATTAATTTGTGTGAATATTGCGGTAGTGCCGCGTGTACTGTTTGATCAATGGGGCGGTCAATATGTTTACGTGTAAATTATTATGTACAGCTGAATTTTTTTGACTGAATGATTTATATAGATGTATATAGATTTTTTACCAGGAGACAGTCGGATGACGCAAGATGGGCGGAAATGTATTTATGTATCCCTGCGCGTGTGTACGGAATATGTACGTTTATTAAATTTATCAGGATGAACTTTACTCATTGTTTTGGTGTATGTGTTGGAATGTTGCTCTAACTTTGCGTAAACTGTGCAGTAGTTTACCCGGATGAACTTTCAAAGAACTGTTTTGTTAAAGTTAATTCGAACGGGCTACTTTTTGAGGTCGGATCTTCCAAGTCATGGACTAGCCTTTATTGAACTTATGCTTTCTCTTTATTGAGGTTATAAATGTTAAACATCACCCTGATGTTTTTTTTTTAAACATACCTTTTTTATTCAAACCATTAGTAATTAAAAGTAAATTATTACTGTTAATAAAAATGAATTAGAGAAAGAAAAAAGTATGCAAAACCATTACAATAGTTAGGGGTTAATAAAGTTTCCAAACTGGGTCGTAGGTAGGCGCGCCTACACAGAGAAGTTATTTTTCCTGAGACCTCATCCATATTTTTCAGCTCTTCCAAAAACTGAATCTCTCTCTATTTCTAGCGTGTGTTTGTGTCTGCCTAGTGCGTGTCTGCGTTGTGTGTGTATAGTTTCCTGAATATTTAAACCCATACATTTACCATCTATACTTTTGTATTTTTCCTTTACATTTACCTATATATTTTGATACGTTAACATAACAAGCTTGATATATAAAGTAAAATTAAGTACTGAAGGAAAGGTGACTGCTTAAAAAGACCGATTCAAGCCGATTCTAAAACTGGTATGTGTGCCCAGTTTGTAACCCTTGGGAAATAAAGTTATTTCGTTCTTCCGTTAGTTTAACGTCTGAAAGGGGTTTCTGGGACCTCTACCCAATTGATCCTCATTCGCAATGTGGCACTATGTGTCACCCGGTGTTTATCACTTGTGTGATGTCCTGGTGCGGTATATCTATCTACCTACCTACCAACCTACCTACCTACCTATCTACCTACCTACCAAAAAAGTGTAGGGACGCAATTTTTTTGTTATTTGAAGCCTCACCCTGGATGTTGCCGGGGGCCCTAATAACCTAACGGCTGAAAAGGGTTTACGGGACCTCTCCACGGTGTGATTCTTATCCGCGCGGTGACACTTTGTGTCACCGGGTGTTTATCGCTGTAAATTATGTCATTGCACGCACATACAGACAACACAAAGGAATAACTCTGTCACAAATGGTGAAGCAGTTTATTTTTCTTTCTAAGATCTTTTTTTTTGTTTTTCTCAACAAATCCAGTTGAAACTAACGTTACTTACTTGATAAGATAAAAGACATAGTGAAAAGAATCATTATGTGTGTGGTTTTTAATATATATGTATATAAATATATATACGTTCGCTTCCTTTAAGCACCATTTTTCCAAAAAATCATGTTTGATACATATGTTTATTCATGATTTGACGCAATAGTGTCTAACAATCTTCTTCCTCTTCTTCTTCAGCCTCTCTTTTACCCCTATCTCTCGTGTTTTGACATGGTACTCCAGTACACACGTTCTCTTGACGTGTTCAATGTATGTGCACTGTCCTCCTCTGATGATATTAATCAGCTCTACATTCTTTCATTCAAAACAATGTTTTTTTCTTGTAATTGTAAACAACGCAGGCACGAACACTGCACTGGGCAAATTATCACTGCCATGGTAATCAAGTGGCTAACCTTGAATTTCCGGGGAAGAACAAACAGCCTATCTTGACAATAGGAATTTCAATATTTCAGTGAAAATAATTCATTTATTTGCTTTAGTATGTTTTTATTTAGGTCTTTAGTAACGCACCTGACGAGATACAGCGAGATTTGCCGGGCAATAAATTAGGCAAAGCTTTGTTTATGTCCGCATTATATAAATTCAGTAGTTCGCTTAAAATAAGGTACTTTGGTCAACGTTGCGTTAAGTAGTGGTTCTTGACTAGATTATAATGTTCTTGTTTTTTTTTTTTTTTTTACATTCGTTAATTTAAGTACATGTGTTCGTTTTTGTTTCTCCAAGTCCACTTCCAGTGCCAACGAAATATGGGAATGACCCGTAACTAACACCAACTAGCAAAGCCCAAGATGACTTGGAGAACTGCAGGTTCATGTTTGTCAAAGTCTGCTCAAGACCAGGCTTAAGAAGATTAAAATGAAGAAGATAAAGAGGAAAAGGAGAGGGAGCAGAAAAGGAAGAGAAGAAGAAGAAGAAGAAGAAGAAGAAGAAGAAGAAGAAGAAGAAGAAGAAGAAGAAGAAGAAGAAGAAGAAGAAGAAGAAGAAGAAGAAGAAGAAGAAGAGAAGAAGAAGAAGAAGAAGAAGAGAAGAAAGAAGAAGAAGAAGAAGAAGAAAAAAGAAGAAGAAGAAGAAGAAAGAAGAAGAAGAAGAAGAAGAAGAAGAAGAAGAAGAAGAAGAAGAGAAGAAGATAAGAAGAAGAAGAAGAAGAAGAAGAAGAAGAAGAAGAAGAAGAAGAAGAAGAAGAAGAAGAAGAAGAAGAAAGAAGAAGAAGAAGAAGAAGAAGAAGAAGAAGAAGAAGAAGAAGAAGAAGTGTTTCTATTATTAGGATTATTATTGTTATCATTATCATTATACATTGTTGGGCGATTTTCTCTTTTAACTACTTGTTTTAAATTTCAACCCCTATCTCTCCCAACCACCCCCCCCCCTCCCCTTTCCACCCCACCCCAACTGAAATACAAATTCGGCAAACATTCTATTGCTGAGGCAGACTATATATATATATATATATATTCTAAATTATTTAAAATTCTTTTTTTTTTCCGAAATAGTATAATAAATTTCCACTTTTAGAATCGCACTTCGCAGATATATAAATACAACATTTACGAAAAACATGTCTGCTCTCCGCATTGTTGTGAAAATGCCTCATTCTGTGTATGCTGTGTACCGCTTCTAGTGATGGCCACGGTCAGTCTGAAAACAAACAGTAAACATGTCTACAAACTAAGGATTATTCAAACATGATAATCTTTAAAGTTTGATATTTGCAAATTATGATGTTATCCTATATGGTGTGCATAATTATGTGAATGCCTGGGTGTGTGAAAATATGCATGCTTGAATGTACGGGGAAAATGCCTGTCTGGGTGTATGGAGGGAAATTGCATGTTTGGGTGTATGGAGGGAAATTGCATGTTTGGGTGTATGGAGGGAAATTGCATGTTTGGGTGTATGGAGGGAATTTGCATGTTTGGGTGTATGGAGGGAAATTGCATGTTTGGGTGTATGGAGGGAAATTGCATGTTTGGGTGTAACAATAAATAGTAAAAGTGAAAAAGTAAAGGTCCCTTTTCCACGCTTTTGGGCAAAAGGGCATATAGGGCTAGACCTTTTTTTATAGACCAATTGGCACAAGATGGGTGATATGGTCAGCATCACGCCGGCCACCTTTACTTCCCGGTACTGCACCCGGTACCCACTCAAGGCTGAGTCGAACTGGAAGTCAAGGTCATTTTTGACAAAAGTATGGCTAAAGAATGAATGGGTGATGAATTTTTTTCCCTTCACCTTTTTCATACACAGGCCAATTTTGGTTGCTCGTCCACCTCTAGAATTTAGTCTTGTTCCAGACCCTGATTGTAGCATACTCATGCTTCTGACATATCTTACTTATCTGTATGCATATAGCTGGTTCTATGCCTCTCAGGCAGATGCACTCAGTCTTTGAAGGAAGCTCCCACATAGTCGATTCTTACGACATGCTTATTTGTGAGGCAGTGGGTCTATTCTTGTTTTCTCTACAATGGGGTCCCGGAACCCATAAGAAGAGGTTATATGTATATTTAGTAGGGGTGGGGAAATCATGTTTTGATGTACAAGAAAATGCATGTTTTGGTGTATAAATGAATAGATCTAGGGAAATATGCATGTTTATATACATACATGTATGTGTGTGTATGTATGTGTGTATGGTGTGCATATGTATATACATTTAAATGTGTGTGTATATATGGTGTGTATATGTGTGTATGTTTATATATATATATATATATATATATATATATATATATATATATATATATAAAATAAACATATATATATATATATATATATATATATATATATATATATATATATATATATATATATATATATATATATATATATATTCATTGATTATTGAAATGAAAGGTTTTTTTGTAAATAAATGTGTGCATGAATGGAAATGTGAATATGTATGGATGTGTGGATGTATGAGTGTACTGAAACATGCATTTTTATATAAATATGAATCTATGGATCTATGTATATTCTGAAATATTCCTGATTACATGTATGGATGTATGGAAACTTGCATATTTTTTTTTTTTACGTCTTGATTTATGTATAAATGTATAAATGTATGTATGTTCGGAAACATGCATATTTATATGTACAGATGCGTGGAATTATTATATTTGGACAAATAAACCAGTAGAACAGATGAACACACAAAATATAAGCCCTGTCAGAAAGACAAAGAAGAAGAATACGACAAAGAAGGAAGGATTTGCTGAAATACGCATTATGGAAATATACATGTGTGAATGTATAGGTGAGTGAATGTATCGATAGATGGACGTATTGGTCTATGAAAATGTGCATGCTGGAATCTATGGATAATTTGTGTGTGGATTTATGCACATCTGGATTATGATACATGGGTTTATGGATGCAGAGATGGATGGAGACATGGGTTTTATGGTAAATGGAATATGTATGTTTGCATATATAGCTGCATGGATATAGGACTTTGAGTGCATATGTATAGGAGTTGTTATAAATATCCATGTTAGCGTGTATGTATCAGTAAGACGCAAAACACCAGATAACAGCTGGTTTCTCAGAAAATAGAATGAGGGATGGAAACATGTATATTTTCATTACATCAGATAAATTGAGAATTTATATTTATATGTGTGTGTGATGTGTGTGTGTATGTGTGTGTATATATATATATATTGTTGGGTAAAATGTATTTCCTTTGTTTAATTGGTTGAAATATTTTTGTTTAATAAATAAATACCCAGATAGTAAGGTTTAATATCACGCTTTTTATTATTATTATTATTTTTATTATTATTATTATTATTATTATTATTATTATTATTATTATTATTATTATTATTATTATTATTATTATTATTCTATGAAACTTTTATATTATGAATGATAGATATTTGTAAGTAAGTAAGTAAAGGACTCTTTTCCACGCCTACAGGCGTTTTAGGCATATAGGGCTAGACCTAACTCTTATATACCAATGGGCACTTGGTGGGAGATGTGGTCAGCATCGCGCAGGTCATTTTTACTTCCCATGACTTTACCTGGTACCCATTTAAGGCTGGGTTGACCTGGCAACCAAGTTAATGTTTGAAAGAAATATTTACAATTAAGAAACTTATCTTGAGTTTTGTAAAGGTGGGTATGCGGCGTATATCTGTGCAGAACATCCCTGAATAGCAGCTAATGCATGTTTATCGACACTGACCTTCAAAATGTTTTCATGGTTTTTGTTTTTTTTTCCCAAAAAAAAGGAAGTATGTATCTTTGAGGTATTAATACATAGTATTTAACTTGACCTTGCAAAATATATCTTATAATACGTTGTAAAAAAGTACAGTCACTGTGACAGCATACGGTATTTAATTCTAGGTCCATTTTTATAGACCAATCGGCAATCGATAATATCACTCGGTCGTCTTTACTTGCCGAGAAATTTCCTGATACAAATTTTAAGCATTTATATACAATCCGACAGTTAATGTGCCTTCGGATTTGGAACTCTTCGTTTGCTTCTGAAGACGCAGCTAATGGGAGTGTCCCGAGTGCTATTATGTTGATTCTCAATTCATTATTTAACATTCAACATTCAGCTGGGTAAACCTGAGAGCCAAAGTCAGTTTAGAAAGATCAGACCTGATGCGAATGTTTTTTTTTCTTGTCGTTCACCGGCTGTAGACTCCGGTTGACAGTCCTGGCTGTTCGTCGACTCCTGATCTTTATGCAGACTGTTGGTTCATATCTTTTAATTTCGGGCAGATGCATCCTTACTTCAAAGGAAACACTCCTAATTAGTCGGCTATTACAAGTTGCGTGAGGGGGTTAGACACAGTGGGACCCTAAGACCCATAGGATTTGAACCCAATTAGGGCTGTAAGACAAAAGTCTAGACATCTGGATAACTCAGTCTCCTTATAAAATTTAATTTAATGAGCCAGCGTATGGGCCTGAAGACGTGGTAAACGGTCCCTTACCATTCATTAGTTATGCCCCACACAGTAAACACGATTATGTGCAGTATGCGAAAATGCGTGTGACTCGTTTCAGATCGTCTGATCCAGATAATAACAAATTTACAGCTGGCTTCTGCGGCTGTTACGGGTGCATTAATTATAACTTCTTCGGGGGTTAAATGGGGTATATGAGATCTGCCTTGTTAGTTTGCCGTCAAATTTGGAATTTTTTAAATCTCCGGATGGGATGGTAAACCTGTAGCTGTCCGCTAGGAGGGAACAAACTGATCGATCGAAGGATCGATCGTTTCATGTACAAAACTTTCCTGCAAAAATGCAATTTCAACAACAAAACAAAACAACAAAAAGAGAATGCATTTTAATACATTTTCACAGCGGTGTCGCAGCGTCTAGAACCTCACCTGTCGGCCCTAATGTTTGGGTTTAAACCCACATCATATATTAAATCACACATCAAGGGAAAATGCAAGGAATTTGTGGAGGGAACAAACCAACAGTAAGCATCAACAAGACCCCTCTCAACAGAAAACAGCATGCAACAATTTTCCGTCTAATGTACGGACAATGCAGGCTTAACTACCACATGCATAAAATAACGACTGTACAGTTCATACAAGCGTGCAGGTCAGATGGGGCCACAAACATCTGAGCACAGTCTGCATCCCCACCCCACCCCCATCCACCTCTCTACTCACACCTACAAGGAGAAGCCTGACCTGAAGAGAAAAGTGTGCATAGCAAAGTACAGAGAACCGTGGACGAACAGCCACTGACATGCAAGTTCAAAAAGACCACCTGGTGGTCTGACCCGATCATACGAAACCCGAAAGCCAAGAAGAAGAACCAACACCGGGCGGATTTGGATAGAAATTGAATTTGGGAAGGAAACAAAACATTCTTTATAGCGACATTCATCATCAAGTGCCTTGCCTACTGGCGTGGGCGATCATGCGTCTCCATAATCTGCGATCTCCTTCAGCATGTATCAGTTAGTGTGCCGACACTCCTCCATGCCATGCAACAAGATTGTCAAGCATCTTCTCTGGTTATCTTCCTCTATTCCTTCTTCCACAGATCTTTCCAGTGGTCACAACATGTTCTATTTTCCCTCTTCTCAAAACATGGCCGAAAAATGATGACTGTCTTCTTCTGATGTCTGTGATAAGTTGTCTTCGGGCTCTCGCCTCTTTCAAAACTTCTTGGTTGCTCTTTTTGGCTGTCCAAGGTATTCACATACCGACATTACGATTACATATTTCTATGCAGATTCTTAACAATTATTGGTCAAATAATTATTAAGTAATTCTATTTTTAATAGAGGCAGTTTCTGAAGGGACTATAAATTAATGTATTCCACGATCACTGAAAGAAATACTCCGTTCTGGTTTTATTTCCTAGTGTTTTCATACTCGCAGAAAAAAAAATTGTCATGTTGTTTTACTTACCATTAAACTGCTCTAGACTAGCAGCAGGTGTGTGTGTGTGAGTGTTGCGTGTGTATGTGTGTGTGCGCGCGTGTGTGCGTGTGAGTGTGTTTATAATTTGTAAAGGGCACAATTATCAAGCAGCTTCTGGACCGGCCCTTTGATAAATATTTCACAATGATCATGAAATAGGGTTGATGGCGATAATGGTGACCACGATGATGATGATGATGATGGTGATGATGATGATGATGATGACCTCATGTAAAGCAGCCCACAGCGTCTATATTGCCCATTGCTACAAACACATTCAGGGGAAAAAGAGGGGGGGGGGGGGCCTAAAGTGTTAAATTACGTGCCGACACAGAATTAGATATTACAGTAAAAAAAAATTTTGCAGGATGATGAGTTTTTATAACTTTTACATATGTTGCTTTTTTTAATGTTGCTTTTTCTTCTTCTTCTTCTTCTTCCTTTTCTTCTTTTTTTTTCTTTTCTTCTTTTCTTCTTCTTCTGATCATAACATGCTTTTTAAGTAAAATACAACTGCTGTGCGAAAGATGGTTGACTGGAAGGGCCGAATGTAAGACGGGCCTTCGTGCCCGATTTGTGACCATTTGAAAAAAAAGTTCGTTCGTTCTTTCTTTCTTTTCTTCTTCTTCTTCTTTTTCTTCTTTTTCTTCTTCTTCTTCCTCAACCAGCTACTCCAAAGAAAAGTTCGAGGAAATTGTAAAGAACGTTTGTGTGCTCTTTCCTAGGCACTGCAGAATCCAGTCTTTTCTGTGGGTGAATTCTTAACACTGCGACGCATCTTTTGCGTTATTTTATCTTTGCTGTGGGCTCATTATATTTCTGCAGCGAGACTGTCAATTATAGCTGGTACTGTAAACTATCTGAAAGTCAGCGTAAATTAACACCACCACCAGCACGCATAAGTCAAGCCATAGCTCAGGCAGTGCTGATCTAGTGATCTGGATGTGGAAACACAAAGCACAAATAATAAACTCCCAACATGCAATCATTGTAGAAATGACAGGTTCAAAAACATAAAAGTTTCAGACTGAAGACAAAGCGGGTTCAGCTAAACAATTCTAGTAAATCAGAGCCATGGGGGAGTGGGAACTGATACATCTAAAACATTTACATACTGCACTGTCTGCAATATCTCTTGCACATCGTTTTTGCGTTTGGAAAATTGTCGCAATATCCTGGGATATAACGTCTTGGACACTTAGAACTTTTATTCTTGCAGTCATCTTCAAAAAAATTGTGAAGTCATTGTGAGAGAAGGTTAGATCATGTTCTAATTTATATCACAAACAGTCTGCGAGATGTTTGCAGCCGGTGAGAGATAAGATACTCATTTGTGTGTGTGTGTGTGGTTTTTTTTTTTTTTTTTTTCTCAGGAACTTCACTTTAGCTCTCCGAACAATTCTGCACCCAGATCTTCTTTTGTCACCACACTGTTACCTGGGTCTAGGTATTATTTTCTGCATTTGTTTACTTCGAGTGGGTCATTCTTGGATATACAAGATATACCAGAGCAGTGCGTGTGCGACAGATACGTGCACTGCCGACTATTACAGATATACTAAAAGCACTAGAAGTCATGTCTTAGAGAAGCAGCAGACACACAAAAACACCTCCTGTATGTATCCATAAATACAGCTAAAAGTCACAGGTTATTTGCGTATTCTTTACAGGACGTTGTAGAACCAACACTAGCAGCCCCAGGTTGTTGTGTGGTTTCTTTAGGAAAATTTACGTCCAGTAGTTTGCCATTTCTTCCTAACGGTCGGCCCCCCTGACACCACTGTCGAAACCAACGCAAGGCGATTGGCCCGCAGCTGGGATCGAACCCGGCATTCCGTCATTACGAAGCGTTCGCATCGACTTAGCCACAGAGCGGACAAAAGTCACAAAATGAAAAAAACAAAATTGCGCAAGCTAAAACACAATTAGCCAGGTTTGCATGTTTGATTAGACTGCCGAGGATAAGAGTGAGTCGAAGTGTTCGAGCAACAATGAGACATGTGTAGGGTTCTAATCATATTAGGCGGTCAGTGAAAGGACTGACCAGCAGCTGCTGCAGAATCAGAAGTTCAACAACAGATCCATCACAATTCTCACCAAAGTGATGTAATTACACAGATGGATCTGTGTTAAGAAGCAGAGAAGCAGACTATGTGCATGGGTGTTCATAGCAAAAGCTGCTGGGCGTCGCTTAGTGTAAAAACGTCTAGCCATTGCTACCACAGGGTCTAGTTCGATAGAATAGGTAGACACAGTCACTGCTGCCTTTAGCTGGCTTGAGAACGAGCTGCACACACATGTCATGATTGCAATTGACTCACAGAGTTAAGAAAAGTGGAGGCAGGTGTGCTCTGTGCAAAGTAGTAAGCGTCGCTTTAGACGTCCCGGGTAGTAAGCATGCTTCTGATATTTAATCCAAAGCGAGCAATTGCTACTGGAATGGTAAACGAACAGGCAGACAGACTGGTTGGTTCTGCATTCTGGATTAAACTGATGCAGGAAAACCTATGTGTTGTGGCGGAGGGAGGGGGGTCTTTAGCAAGAGTAAATAGTGCGAAAGCTCAAACGTCATGTTCTGAAGATAGTCGTGCAGCGGTTAGTACCCAGGGGTCTTGCCGATGCTGAACACTTAGGGAAAAGGAGAGACAGACATACAATGAGACCACTGCTGGTACCGTCGTAACTGAAACTCTTATGTAGGCTGCTTAAGATGAGGACGAAGCGTTATGAAAATGCCCTGAGTGCTATGATGTTGAATCTCATCTCAACTCAACTCAGCTTAGTGGAACGGTTTATAGCACCAGTTTTATATTGGCGTGTTATTTTTCTTTGTCTCCCTGCATAGTGCTCGAATCTAGCCTAGCCGCCTTCTCATTTGCTGTTCTAGCAGTCTGGTCGTGTTTGCAGACTCACATTCATCACCTGATTCTCGGAAACGTTTTCCCTCTCGCAGAGCGTTGAGTTTATCAGCATGGTCCACAGTTTACATTAGCCAATAACTGCACGCCTATCATCTTATTCAATTCCTGTTTAATGTGCATGCACAAAAGATAAGCTGATTTTCGTCAGCAATGACCGTGTTATTTGTCTTGCGCGCCTCGAGCAGCTTGGTTGACTCACTTATAAATTTGTCAGCAAGATACAGCTACCTCCTCTACCCATCTCGTCCTTGGTCTTCCACTCGCCTTCCAGTCATATGTTCTCACACACCGTTAGGTCAGTCTGCATTTTTACTGGATGGCTAAACCCAACTTCTACACTCTGTTAATGTGACAATGTGATTCAAGAGAGGTCCTGTCCCTGTCTACACTCTAATGCTGGTATTCGTGTCCCTGTCTCTCCTTGCTTTGTTGGTGATCCAAACATTGTGTGGGTGTATTGGGATTTCAACGTTCAGCCTTCTTCTCTAACAAGTATCAGTGTTAGAGTGTTAAAGCATTGCGTCAAATCTGAAATTACCATATAAAACAGAAATACTGAGAACGATTAAAAATATATTAGTAAATGACACATGATCATTATTGATTCTCTGAGACGAATGAGAGATTGAAGTGCTATACATGTTCACTACTGTTTATAGAACGAACTGAGCTTATTCTAGAGATACAAAAAGTGGTGAAAGACCTATTTTGCAATGGATACCATGAGAAAACATAAATACAGCGGTTGTCAAACTGCCATTCGCTACCCTTTTTTGGGGGGGGATGTGGGGTGTCAAACGACCCTTTCACAGGGGTCGCCTAAGACCATCGGAAAACACATATTTATTGAAGTTATGAAGGAAAATAAGTGTCTGGGGGTCACAATAACATGAGGAAAATGTATTAAATGGTCGTGGCATTGAGAAGGTTGAGAGCCACTGTGTTAATAGTATAAATAGGACGTCCATGTTTTAGAACCCACATGGTAAAAGAAACAGAGGAAATGTTTACAGCAACATATAATATCGTTATATAATTAAACATAAAATATAAAATTTTATAACTTAAAAACACAGATCACATCGTCTCTCTTTATATATGCTTTCCAACTGGTCACGAAAGTCTACTATTAACCATGTGAGCCTTTGTTCGTGTTACAATGTGTGTCCACAATTAGAGAAATGAGGACGTGGGTTCCGTTTTACGGGCTTGACTATTTATTTAATTTATTTATTTATTTTTAATTTATTTTTAATTCAAAAATTATACATTTAAAACTTGTTAACATTTATTCTAGCAATTCTGCCTAAAATGGGTTCAATAGATGTGCCAGATGTGGTCAAAGTGATCTTAGCTATATCACATATGGGGTGCTTGATAGGCAGGGGAAAAAATACTCCTGAACTTTTTTCAACTCTGGGCTCTACCTGAAGGTCTGACAAGCCACGGACCCGATGAGCAGCTTCCAACATGTCAAACCAAAAACACGAACGCTACATACCTTGTTCTACATCCTAAGAGATTATAATTATGGCGTTTGTCCGTTGAACATAGTAAAGCTTTTTTAATATGGTGTATTCATAATTACATATTATCAAACTATTCACATTTTTGCGCATCATCCTTGCGCAGGAGTCCTGCTAATCTTCTCTGTTGAAAAAAGTTAGTTGCGTATCCTTTAAAGGACGTTGCAGAACCAACTCCAGCATTTATTTGGCTGTTGCGGTTTTTCTATGCAAGTTTACGTTCTTTACTGGACGGTCGGCTTCTTGATACCACTGTCGAAACCAGTGCAAGGTGCAAGCCCCGCAGCTGGGATCGAACCCGGCTTCCCGGCATTACGAAGCGCCTTCGCAACGCCTAAGCCACTGACGCCGACAATCTTCTCTGTATCGGTCAAATTTTAGAATATGTACTGCGTGAACAGTGAGAACTATTCAAATTCTCTCTCTCTCTCTCTCTCTCTCTCTCTCTCTCTCTCTCTCTCTCTCTCTCTCTCTCTCTCTCTCTCTCTCTCTCTCTCTCTCTCTCTCTCTCTCTCTCTCTCTCTCTCTCTCTACGATCCAGCGGTAAATAAAACATTAAAGATAAAACAGCCTATTTTCGTGGATTCGACTAGTATGTATGTAATTTGTACCCCACCAGGACATCACGCAAAGCGTTAAACACCCGGTGACACAAAGTGCCACTATGCGGATGAGGATCACCCGTAGAGAGGTCCCAGAAACCCCGTTCAGCCCTTTGGCCATATTTATGGCCCGGCTATATTTAGCACCCCCGGCAAAAGCCACGGTGGGGCTTCCAATAACGAAAAGAAGCATCCCACAAGGGGACGACTATTAATAACTCGACTAGTTAAGTCTCTACGACAAATGTTTTACTAGCGTGGTTAAGAACTCAGGTGTACACGTACTGACCTAAAAATGCAGTCCGCGACACTATGCTATTACAGGTTAGTTGCGTGTCCTTTACAGGACGTTGCAGAACCAACCCCAACAGCCCCTGGCTGTTGTGTGGTTTTTCTAGGCAAATTTACGTCCTGTAGTTTGCCATTGCTTTCTGGACGGTTGGCTTTCTTGATACCACTGTCGAAACCAACGCACGGCGCATGGCCCGCAGCTGGGATCAACCCAGCATCCTGGCATTACGAAGCGTTCGCATCGACTTAGCCACAGAGCCGACATGCTAATGCAACATGATGAAATTACCTACCGAAATCATTATCCCCGGTCGAATTTGTGTTAAGTAGAATAATTCGTCTCATTAATCATAACGATTATTTTCTAATTTTGTTTGCCCGATAATTTTAAAAAGCAATTAATAATGAAGGCTTTATAGATTTAAACTGCCAATTACTGCCTTTTTTATACCACTTTTGCGGTGCAGGAAGGCGGTCTTTGAGCCTGACAATTTACGGTTTCATGGCTAGTGAAGTCGCCACGACAGTGCAGGTAATTGTCTTTTGTGCACCCGACAGAAAAAAAAATCCCCAGCCTTCATGAGGATTCGAACACGGATCTCCCGCTTGATAGCCCATCCTTTTAACCGTTCGGCCAGTCGCTCCTCTTCATAGATTAACTTCCTTACAAAAATTAGTTTTTACTTTTTAAAAATATTATATTTGTAAAACTAGAAATTTTCACTTAACTTTGTTTCGCCATGGACAGACAGACAGACAGACAGACAGACAGGCAGACAGACAGACAGACAGACAGACAGACAGACAGACAGACAGACAGACAGACAGACAGACAGACAGACAGACAGACAGACAGACAGACAGACAGACAGATATGAAGAAAGTTAGGTATGTAGACAGACATATATAATGTTTTAGTAAGTAAGCGAACAGAACAATGATGTTCCTACTTTTTGCAGCAGATTTTATCGGTGGTGGAGTAGGTGTTGTAGTTGTAGTTGTATAAGGTGGAGTCGTCGTAGCCTCGGTTGTTGTAGTAGTCGTAGCCTCAGGTGTTGTTGTTGGTGGCTGCGTAGTAGTCGTCTCAGTTGTTGTAGTTGTTGATGTTGTGGTTGTTGTTGGTGAAAGAGTAGTCTCGGCTGTTGTTGTTGGTGGCTGCGTAGTGGTCGTCTCAGTTGTTGTAGTTGTTGATGTTGTGGTTGTTGGTGAAGGAGTAGTCTCGGGTGTTGTTGGTGGTAAAGGGGTATCTACCTCATTGGTATCGGATTCATCGGTATCTGACTTATTGGTATCGAACTCATCTACACTACGAGTCTTAGTGTTATCTAGTGAAAATGTAGCAGATTATATTGATACATTTAGCAAGTCACTTTCATGACAGAACTTGACATTTTAAGTCACTTTAAATCTTTACAGAAAGAATTAGTAAAAAGTAAAAATAAAGAATAAAATAATACGATGGAAGAAGAAGAAAATGGAAAGATATTGGGAGGGGGGAGGAGGAGGAGGAGGAGGAGAAGAAGAAGAAGAAGAAGAAGAAGAAGAAGAAGAAGAAGAAGAAGAAGAAGAAGAAGAAGAAGAAGAAGAAGAAAAAGAAGAAGAAGAACAAGAACAAGAACAAGAACAATAACAAGAACAAGGAGAAGAAGAAGAAGACAGCAGCAGTAGCTAGCCAGCAGAAGCAACAACAACAACAACAACAAAAAGTAGATAATATTGTACTGTGCTGTCTGAATGACCAGACATGCCCAATTCATCGTTCAGCTTTCAATCAACAAGGAACCATCTCTACAATGAAGGTGGCTGCACTAGTTCTCCAACACGCTCTGTTCCTTGTCTTTGTTGTATACTCTCTCAGACTGTTATTTGTCCATATCTTGATATTATGCTCCCACTCGTATCGTTGTTCATCTCCTGCTGTCTTGTCCTTAAGTTTTCTTTCCAGTATGGTTTTTAAAAGAGTGTTACGTATTTTTATGAAGCCAAAATATTTTACTTGTCTCTTGCTTTAATTTTTTTTTTTTTTTTTAGTAATTCTTATTTAATTTGTATTATTTCCGTCACCTCGGTGTTTAATTGCTTTTATGTCCGTGAAATACCACCTCTTCTTCTGCATATCTACATTTCCAGACACTCTTTTCGATTTTCTAGTTGCCTGTTATTGTCTACGTTTCTGCACAATACAGCAGAGTCGAAAATACATAACATTTGACGATTCTCATTTTTAATGTCTTGTTTATCCCTCTAGATGTCTATAACTTCCGCATCATATTGAATACAGTTTCAGCCATTCTTGTTCTATTTTTGATTTCTGTTTCACTTCCGCCGTCCTATGTTATTACGTGTCCAAGATAGGAGAAACTTGTTGTCTGTTCTAGTATCTCTCTGTTTACTATGATGCATTATTGAGTCAGCATTATACACACTTTATTTTTGTTTTTGTTTTAATATGATAACACTGGAGCCCAGCAACTCACTCGTGTAAGTCATATATACAAATAATCTCTGCAAGTTTTTTCTGATTTCATTGAACTCTTTCCCGCGGATCAAAAGCTCATAGGTTGGGTTCATGAGGGAGCAGGGCAATTTTTGTTTATGACCGTGGCTTACAGGTCAGCCCACCCCTCAGTTAGTACCAGGTACAGTCCTGGGAAGTAAAGGCGGTCAGTGTAATGCTGACCACATCATCCACACTGTGCCGATTGGTCTATGAAAAAGAGGTGTAGCCGTATATGCCCGATACAAGAAGACCTAGAGAGGTGGAAAAGGGTCCCTTTAATTATAATTTTTTTTTACCTTTACTTTTTCTAAAGAAGAGTTGAGTGGGGATTAGGAAAATGCTACGGCGGTGAAATAATTTTAACTAACACTATAGCAAAGATAATGAAGTAGCTATAACAAACACCATAGCAAAGATAATGAAGTAACTATAACAAACACCATAGCAAAGATAATGAATTATCTATAACAAACACCATAGCAAAGATAATGAATTAACTATAACAAGCACCAAAACAAAGATAAGGAATTAACTATAACTAACACCATTGCAAAGATAATAAATTAACTATATCTAAAACCATAGCAAAGATAATGAATTAACTAAACTAACACAATAGCAAAGAAAATGAATTAACTATAACTAACAGCATAGCAAACATAATAAATTCACTAAAACACTAGAGCAAAGAAAATTAACTATAACCATAATTAGAAAATTTACTATATATAACACTATAGAAGTGAAAATGGACAAAATATAAGTAACATTTAACAAATTTACTGCTCTCAGGTTGACTGTAGGAGTCGCCGTGGTGCAGCGGCTAGACGCTCGCCCCTGGATCCAAAGGTTTTCATTACAAAAATGACCATGGCTCTCAGGTCGACCCAGCTTTAAATAAGTATCGAGCATCAGGTAAAATCCTGGGATGTTGACTACATCACCCACCGAGTGATGATTGTTCTATAAAATAGAGGTCTAGCCCAATGTGCCTAATACCCCTGAAGGCGTGAGAAAGGTTCTTTACTTTACTTAATTTCTTTTCTTGACCTTTACATAAGAGATCAGTTAAACTAGTACCTACCATAGCACAGCCCTTCGTTGTATGTCTGACCATCCTTACATTTTTTGGTGCAGTCGCGAGTGTAGGGTTTTCGCCCCTCGACGTTACCGCTAGACATGGCAAATAATAAAAAAACAAGCACATTTTGAGAGTGAATTTGGTAAAGAGCACTTGAATACCGACTGACAAACATCTTTCTCTGACAACTTTGTCTTGTCACTCAATTTGTGGCCTTACTCGGACATCTCTCTCTCTCTCTCTCTCTCTCTCTCTCTCTCTCTCTCTCTCACGCACACACACACACACACACTTTCTCTCTCTGATCTCTCTCCTGTATTTCTCTCTTTCCAAGCTCTCTTTGCCACTCTCTGAACTATTTTTCTAGCTCCAACTCTTTTGGACATATCTCTCCGTTCTCACTTTCTTTCTCTCTATATCACACTGTGACCCCTCTCTAACTCTTTCTAACCCTCTTTTTTGGCCACTCTTTTTATGACCACATTCTGATATCTGTTTCTCATTCTTTCTTTCTCTAGCATCCTAGTATCTTTGACCTCTGGTTGTTCTTCCCTCTTCCTTCTCTCCTCTTTCTCTGACTTCAGTTTGACGAAATAGTCCAGCTGTTCACCAGACAAGAGCGTCACAACAAAACACGAACTACCGCAGCCCCAGCCACAACCAGCAGGGTTCTCCCAAACGCTTTCATTCGCGAACTAAAGACCAGAGTCTGAAACGAACGCACGACTTTCAGAGCACGGGGCAATGTTCAAACCTTGCTCATTAGTAGTGAAAATGTATATCTCAAACATAATTTGTGGAAGAATTGCTGACATTTTGAAAGATCTGAATATCAAGGAGGATTCGCTTATGAACAGCATCTTGTCTCGGAATCTGAAATATTTTGGTCATTATCAAGCGCCACTGCGGATTAGGGGAGAAAATAGCAGAAGAGATGGTATCAGAAAAGAAGGCGGTGCCGACCAACACGAAGATGGACCCAGGATATAAGTGACTCCTTAAGTATGAAAGTACACGAGGCGGGAGAGCTGGCGAGAGACCTTTTTTTTTTTTTTTTCAGGCTGACCGTGGTGAGAGCATCGTTTTGCAAATGACCTGCTAATGATGATGATGAATATTAGTATTAGTAGTACATTTTACCCCACTAGGACATCACCCAAGCGATAAACACCCGATGACACAGAGTGCCACAATGCGGATGAGGCTCACCCGTGGTAAGGTCCTAGAAACCGCGTTCAGCCATTAGACCATATTTATGGCCGGGCTATATTGCGGCCCCTAGCAAGAGCCAGGGTGGGGCTTCAAAAAAATGAAAAACTGCATCCGACAAGGTTATGACTAGAATTATGTAATGATGAATGTGTGGTTATATCCTTATTTTATCAATTGTTGTGAGGCTGGTGTACGTGGTGCATTGACTGCAATAATGTTAATAATATTTCAATCATCGTCGTTGATGTAATTTTTACGCTTATATTATTTCATCAGAATAATATAGTTACTATTTATATTTATAATGGTCATAAGTGTTTTTTTTTTTTTTTTTTGAGGTTTCAAACAACAGATCAACATCATGGCACATGGGTAGTAACTCTTAAGTGCTCCGTTCTTCTTCTAGCTCAATGAGTCCGAAGAAGCTCAGCACAGTGCACAGGCTCTGTAGAACTGGCGAGGATCCTAAAACACACTGGGTAGATTTTTAACTCCAAATTTTGGCTGGGCAGTGCTGTGAGGCTACTCTTTTCCATTTTCAACTGCCAAAGAATTTTTTACGTGTTCAACAATGCACATGGGCGTCCGATCTCCCTACCTAGAGACCAGGGAGAAATACCAGAACTCCAAGTCCACATGAAAAATTCCCACCCCTTACGGGAGATTGAACCTGGAACCTCTAGCACTCAATGTGGACACCATGCCTCGAGACCACGCAGCCCCCTCAATGGTCATAAACAGCTGTCAGCTAATCGCAGTTCCAGTTTCCCAGGAAACGGGTCATTCCATAATTTCTCCGTTTCTATGCCAACGAAAAACACACAGAGAATGTCTATAGCTATCCCTTGTTTAGAAAACAAAATTCAGTCAGATTGTACTCTTTCCTCTTTGCAAAGCCTAAAGCATACACACATTAAATGTAAAAGGTTGTCGCCAGAAATGTCTCCACATGCAGTCTAGCACTAAAACTACACTTCATCGTCTGTGTAAGCAGTCGTTACAACAAAACAGTAGCTGTACACACAAGTAATAAATGACATAAGGCACCACCATTTATGTGACAAGCCACTCACCATTCTCGAATCTGTGGTTCACAACACAAGCTATGCTAGGCACCATCGAAAAGCATTCTAAGTGAAAGAGTTCAATTGATGTAGATCACAAGGCAGACGAAGAAAGCCACGGAAAGATACTGTAGAGGTAGACCTACAAATGGTCGCCAAGTGGGAAAAGAAGGCCATTCACATAGATGAACGGAGACGGCTGACCTCTGTGATGTCTATAACAATTAACCTTGCAGACTTAGAATGCTGACGACTCAGAATGCTGAAGAAGAAGAAGAAAAAGAAGAAGAAGAAGAAGAAGAAGAAGGAAGGAAGGAAGGAAGGAAGGAAGGAAGGAAGGAAGGAAGGAAGGAAGGAAGGAAGGAAGGAAGGAAGGAAGGAAGGAAGGAAGGAAGGAAGGAAGGAAGGAAGGAAGGGAGGAAGGAAGGAAGGAAGGAAGGAAGGAAGGAAGGAAGGAAGGAAGGAAGGAAGGAAGGAAGGAAGGAAGGAAGGAAGGAAGGAAGAAAAGGAAGGACGGAAGGAAGGACGGAAGGAAGGGAGGACGGAAGGAAGGGAGGACGGAAGGAAGGAAGGAAGGAAGGAAGGAAGAAAAGGAAGGACGGAAGGAAGGACGGAAGGAAGGGAGGACGGAAGGAAGGGAGGACGGAAGGAAGGGAGGACGGAAGGAAAAAAGGAAGGAAGGAAGGAAGGAAGAATGGAAGGAAGGAAGGAAGGAAGAAAGGAAGGAAGGAAGGAAAGAAGGAAGGAAGGGAGGAAGGGTGGAAGGAAGGAAGGGATGAAGGAAGGAAGGAAGGAAAGAAGGAAGGAAGGAAGGAAGGAAGGAAGGAAGGAAGGAAGGAAGGAAGGAAGGAAGGAAGGAAGGAAGGAAGGAAGGAAGGAAGGAAGGAAGGAAGGAAGGAAGGAAGGAAGGAAGGAAGGAAGGAAGGAAGGAAGGAAGGAAGGAAGGAAGGAAGGAAGGACGGAAGGGAGGAAGGAGGGAGGGAGGGAGGAAGGAAGGAGGGAGGGAGGGAGGAAGGAAGGAAGGAAGGAAGGAAGGAAGGAAGGAAGGAAGGAAGGAAGGAAGGAAGGAAGGAAGGAAGGGAGGAAGGAAGGAAGGAAGGAAGGAAGGAAGGAAGGAAGGAAGGAAGGAAGGGAGGGAGGAAGGAAGGAAGGAAGGAAGGAAGGAAGGAAGGAAGGAAGGAAGGAAGGAAGGAAGGAAGGAAGGAAGGAAGCAAGGAAGCAAGGAAGCAAGGAAGCAAGGAAGCAAAGCAAAGCAGAAAGACCGGCAGGGAGGACGAAAGGAAGGAACCATCAGGGACCAATAAACTGTGATCGGTAAGATCAATGACTGGTTTGTTGTAAAGCGTTTCAATCAAGGTTGTTATTAACGACTAACACTACGAGAAGGATGATCCTAAATTCCAGCCCCTTTGTAAAGGGAGTCATTGTGGAGAAGAGGCACAATGTTAATGCGAATAGTTGGAATGTGTGAAGGGGGGGGGGAGGTGCCGTGGTCTAGCGGCTAGACGCTCGCCTGCAGATTAGAAGGTTGTGAGTTTTTTTCCTGACGGGTTCGGACTTTTTTCAAAAATTATCTTGGCTCCAAGGTCGACCCAGCCTTGAGTGGGTACCATCTGCAGTCCTAGGAAGTAAAGGCGGCTGGCGTGATGCTGACCACATCAGCCACCAAGTGCCGTTTGGTCTATAGAATTTAGGTCTGGCTCTATACCGTCAATACGCCTGAAAGGCGTGGAGAAAAGGGTCCTTTACTTTACTTTAGCTGGACTGTGGAGAGCTGCTGCGAAAGACCCAAAATAATAAATATAATAATAATAATAATAACTAACCAGATATCAGTCTGGTTGGAGTAAATCACCCAGTCTCTCAGACAGTTAATAAGTCAGTTTATCTAAGAAAATTTATTGATCAGCACTCACAGAAAGAAGTAGAAAGATAGAAGAACAAACTAGACAACATAAACAAGGAAAGCTATAGTTACCGTGCCGGGAATTGAATCTGTCACCTCCAAACGGCGTTGGCGCCTCACCATGGATACAAGTGCACTAAGAACATGGTCAACGAGGCACTGCCCCCCCCCCCCCTCAAAACTGTCTTATTTGCCATGTCTATCATGCAGCTCGAAACCCACAACTATGGAATACGGATATAATTCATTTCATACTATTAAAATGGCACCATAGGTTACAGAAATTTATATTTACCAAGCATATGTAGAATAACAATCACAGCAACAATTTAAGAACACAGTAGACCTTAATGCTTTGTCTAGAATACACAAACATTTAAGAAAGGTATTTGATTGGTAGGTTCCGGTGTGTATACGTCATTCCTATGTTTATTTATTTACAGTTTATCTAAGCAATGACAGATGTAATACTTACGGTGGGTAGTAATAGCAGGCGACGAGCCAAACATTTGAACAGTTGTTCAAGGCGCAGCCCACTTCTGTCGTACTGTTTTCGACCATCTTTAAAACAGAAAAACCAACTGTTATTTTTAATGTGAAAAAAAAAATTGCTGTGGTATACTGGTTGGTCTTCTTAGAGTCAATGCCATTGACCGTGGTAGTTATATCTATTTGCAACCTTCTGTTGCGTGTACTTCAGTCAGTTCTGACAGGGACGATCTCCCTTAAAATGTTGTCAGACTGTCCAGCATCTTCTCTCTCTGTCTCCCTCTGCCTTTTTTCCCTTCCAACTTTCGTACCGTCACGATGCACTCTAGTTTTCTTCTTCTTTTGACATGACATTGTCTGCTTCTGATGTAGGGAAGCAGTTTTATTCGCCAGGCAGTTTCTTTATGTACATCTTTATTAATATTTTTACCTGTCCAATGTATCCTCATTATGTCTATTAAAAAAATGTGTCATTATTCGTCCACAGCCAATGATTCCTTCCATATATCAGGATATGACGTATATAGCTCCAACTGCCCCTGATTCCTTCCATATATCAGGATATGACGTATATAGCTCCAACTGCCCCTGATTCCTTCCGTATATCAGGATATGACGTAAATAGCTCCAACTGCCCCTGATTCCTTCCATATATCAGGATATGACGTATATAGCTCCAACTGTCCCTGATTCCTATCCGTATATCAGGATATGACGTATATAGCTCCAACTGTCCCTGATTCCTTCCCGTATATCAGGATGTGATTTATATAGCTCCTGAGAATTATTTTTCTCGTCTCAATTGACAAGAAACATTGCAAAGAATATTCTTCCTTTTGTAAAATGCTTTCCTTGGTTGAGCTGTTCTACGAGCATATGATAACTATATTAACATCATTGACCGAAACCTACAGAAAGACGTAAAGAAAAGTAAAAGTAAAGGACCCTTTTCCACGCCTTTGGGCGTATAGGGCATATAGGGCTAAACCTATATTTTTATAAACCAATCGGCACCCGGTACCCACTCAAGGCTTGGTCGACTTGAGAGTCAAGGTCATTTTTGGAAAACGTCAGCCTCCGCCAGGGAGCGAACCCATGACCTTCCGATCCGCGGCGAGCGTCTAGGCGCTCTGCCACGGTGACTCACAAGACGTAAAGAAAACACACATTAAGTGTGTAAAGTTGCTGGTGCGCATGCGTGCGGTAAGTAAGATTCAATTAACAGCGGTAGCAAGACTGATTCATGTTTGGGATGGGTTTAAACTCACAAGCTCACACTAAGGGTCCTCCACATCTTTGCCGTCTTCTTATTTTTTTCCTGCCCCTTTCCTCAGCCTGACAGTAAGAGTCTTCCTCCACCTCCTTCTCTTCTTCTTTTTCTACTTTTTCTTCTTCTTCTTCTTCTTCTTCTTCTTCTTCTTCTTCTTCTTCTTCTTCTTCTTCTTCTTCTTCTTCTTCTTCTTCTTCTTCTTCTTCTTCTTCTTCTTCTTCTTCTTTTTCTTCTTCTTCTTCTTCTTCTTTTTCTTCTTCTCCTCCTGCTTCTTCTTCTTCTGTGGATAAATAAACTTCTTCTTTTGTTGATGAATAAAACGTAGTGGACACATCACTTTAGAAAGAGAGCACCGGATATCCTTACATCTCCACCTAATATCTCAGTGAAACTACTGGAAGGGAAAAAATACACCAAGGAATCTCAATATTGTTTGTGTAAGTGGTAATTAACTTATGTTGTGTCGTTCTCCTATGTATCGCTAAGACCTGTGCAGATATGAGATCTTGTCTGTTGCATGTCAAAATTATACTCCAAATAGAGGGGCAATTCCCGTGGTATGGTATCCCTTTAAGGGATTCCTCTTGGATACATTAACAGATCAACTCTACTCATTTGGACGAATGTATAATTTTAAAGTGAATATCCATGCATAACATAGGAGGTGGGGAAAAAAGGGGGCGGGGGGAGATTGATAGAAAGTTGCCTAAACTGGGTCATTTGTTTAGCAGTCATTCTGGAGCTATCGACAGTTGACTTTAACATTGTTTTATGGTATTCTCAATAGATCTAGATAGTGCATATCCAAAGGAACTTGAACAGTCAATTGTGTCAACTGTGAAGCAGCTGACTGTGGGACAGACGGGGAGTGTGAAGAGAAGACTTTTAAGATTAGTCCATTAATACCAGATGAGTACATGTTTATGAAACGTGGGGTTACAGCCATCCGGAAACTCTGGGCCTACGGCTTATTCTTTCCATACATACCTTCGTGGCTATGATGAACCGAACATTGTGAATTTTGGTAATCCAGGAGACATTCTTGATTCTCAGAGACATTCTTTACGTCTTATATTCTTGTGTGTCTTTTCTATGAATCATTCACTTGAATTTTTGCATACATGTTCATAACTGATTATATTGTTATTCTGAAAGTACCCGTGTTAGTGTCTAGAATTTCATAGTTCATTTCACTTAGTTCCTGGGGTGTGATTGTTATTCAGTTCGATTTCTTTTGTGCTATGTGTTGACTGGGATAGTGATTATATCCAGTCTAGAGGCTTTAAAAGTGGCGAGGAAATCTAGCCAAATTGTGCCCTGAAATGTCTTTGATGCCAAGAACTTGAATTATCCCTGGCGTGGTGTTAGATGGTTTTTGGAGCTACGGTTTTTTTAGACCAGTCTGAGCCACTGTCACAACATTTTGACGTTCTAGAGTGTCTTCTCCATTCAGGGGTGACACTAATTTAGAACCGTGACATAACCGTCTTGTGAAGGTGAAGGTGGTGATGTTAGTAGTGTTGTTTTTATTGTTTGAGACACGGTAGAAGAGACTGGAGTACATCATGACAGTAGGAGATTCGAAGGGGAAGAGAGGCAGAGGGAGACCTAGAAAAAAGAAGATGGACTGTCTAAGATCATGGCCTGGAGGAATATCTGTATAAGAGTTGATTAAAAATAAGCAAAACAAAAGGTTGTGGATAAGACATGACTAACAACGCCAGACTGCAAGGACGTCAAGAAAAAGAAGACGAATAAGAAAAAGAAGAAGAAGATGACGAATAAGAAGAAACAGAAGAAGAAGAAGAAGAAGAAGAAGAAGAAGAAGAAGAAGAAGAAGAAGAAGAAGAAAAGTAGTAGCGGTAGTATTAGTAGTAGTAGTAGTAGTAGTAGTAGTAGTAGTAGTAGTAGTAGTAGTAGTAGTAGTAGTAGTAGTAGTAGTAGTAGTAGTAGTAGTAGTAGTAGTAGTAGCAGCAGCAGCAGCTGCTGCAGCAGCAACAATAGTAGTAGTAGTAGTAGTAGTATAGTAGTAGTAGTAGTAATAGTGTAGTAGTTGTGTACTAGTAGTAGTAGTAGTAGTAGCAGTAGTAGTAGTAGTAGTATTAGTAGTAGTAGTAGTAGTATTAGTAGTGTAGTAGCAGTAGTAGTAGTAGTAGAAGTAGTAGCAGTAGTAGCAGTAGTAGCAGTAGTAGTAGTAGTAGTAGTAGTAGAAGTAGTAGTAGTAGTAGTAGTAGTAGTAGTAGTAGTAGTAGTAGTAGTAGTGCAATAGCAGTAGTAGTAGTAGAAGTAGTAGCAGTAGTAGCAGCAGCAGCAGTAGTAGTAGTAGTAGTAGTAGTAGTAGTAGTAGTAGTAGTAGTAGTAGTAGTAGCAGTAGTAGCAGCAGCAGCAGCAGTAGTAGTAGTAGTAGTAGTAGTAGTAGTAGCAGCAGCAGCAGCAGCAGCAGCAGTAGTAGTAGTAGTAGTAGTAGTAGTAGTAGTAGTAGTAGTAGTAGTAGTAGTAGTAGTAGTAGTAGTAGTAGTAGTGGTGGTAGTAGTGGTGGTGGTGGTGGTAGTGGTTGCTGTTCTTTTTGTTCTTGTTTTAGAACTTAATAAAATGCTGTCACCGTCTAAAAAACACCTTGCAGGTCTCATGTTAGGTTTTTACCTGGGTATAGTGGCAGGAGGGCTTACACTCCGCTTGGCTCTCTTTGTAACCACCCTTCTCCTTAGCCCACATTCCACAACTCTGAACTCCAATCTCCAGCTCCGTTTTCTTGGATCTCAACTTGGCTAAGTTTTCTCCGAAATCACGTTCTTGGTGTTGATACTGACAGGTCGACAGCCATGCTTTAGCCTCCTTCTCCATCTTCATGCTATATTTCTGGCAGAGAAAACATATCACGGACAGATCCATCAATATATATATATATATATATGTGTGTGTGTGTGTGTGTGTGTGTGTGTGTGTGTGTGTGTGTGTGTGTGTGTGTGTGTGTGTGTGTGTGTCTAAGTCCTTTTGAGAAAAAAAAAAAAGCTCTACCACGTTCCGACTGCTGCTAGCTAGCCGAGGCTGCTAACAGTCTCTGCCTATATTTGTGGTCTGGGTTATTTGCGTCACTTTTGTGACTGAATTTTAGTGTTTGTGCCATTTCTGGGCTTGATGCTTCCATCCGAATCAAACAGCTCGTCCTCCAACCTGTTGTCACTGGTGCATGTCTTTCTTCTTCTTTCTTGGTGTTTCCTGTTTGTTTTGTCTCCCTTTGATCTGACTGGGCGTATCTCGTAGGAGAGCGAGCTTCCATACACAACGTCCTTTGGACCACCATATATATGTATATACATGTGTGTTTGTGTGTGTATAATGGATAGACGCGGGAACATACACGGACATAACAGACAACATAACAGTCAAAAACCTTAACATGCAGAGTGTCGAGCCTTTCACCACTAAATGACGACAACGCGTCGCTGCAGGACAAGTGTGCGCATGACCAACCAGATACCCTTTAAAAGGGGTTTCATTATTAGCCACGTCTATCGTACAGCTTGAAACCATAATTGTGGTATACGAACAGACTTCGTATGAAACCATTGAAATATCACCTTTGTGTCAAAAAATGCATACTAGCCAAACATAAGCTCGAATAACACACACTTTCACAACTGTTATAAACACATCAGATCGTACCTTCATGTGTAGTATTCTTCTGCTTTTTCATTTTTTTGTGTGTTCACTGGCTGTAAACTTAGGTAGAAAACTATGGTTGTTCGTCCACTTCTAGACTTTGGTCTTGTATCAGTGCCCGAGTTTTTCGTGCACATCTGTTTTACTTTACAGATCTGGCTGTTTTGTTTGCTTCTCGCCTCATGGATAGATGCCCTTTCACTTCAAATGAAACATTCCTAAGTGGTCGACTCTTTCAATATGCTTGTTACGGATCAGTGCGTCCATTTCCATCCCCCCCCCCGCGCTTTTCCCCCAGAATTGGACCCCAACCCCCCCCCCCCCCAGCCCCTCCCCCTTTTCCCCCGCACCCCAACGGGGATCTAGTTTTCATTGATTATTTAACGGAAGTGATTTGATTGGTCAGTTATATTGTGGTGTACGTAATACACAGAAATAAATGGCTTAGGGACCTTTAAGATAGCTGAAAAATTTGTATTTAATTTTTCTACAATCAGTAAACATTATTTTTTTTTTTATTCCTGGGACCTCCGGCAGTGTATTGGCTAGATACCAGCATGTTGGCCTGAAGACCGTGGGATCGAATCATCAGTGAGAAGAATTCTTTTATAATTGACCTCTGCCACTAGGTCGACTCATCCTTAAATGACTACTAGGAAATGTCCTGCGAACTAAAGGCGGTCACATGCGGTGTTGACTACTAGAACAAATTGTTTAAATGCTCTGTAATAATAATTATTATTATTATCTGTTTATAGGTTAATACGTACAATATATAATTCACAACATAATTAAATATATAAACAACTCCCCATGTGAGCTACACAGCTCTAACAAAGGGAAAGCAAGAATAGACCCACTGCGTACCCAAAAGCATGTGGTAAGAGTCGACTAACTGGGAAGTTGGAGTGCATCTGCCTGGGAGGGGGGGGTGAGGAACCAGCAGTCTGCAAACAACTGAGTCAGATCTGTAAAACAAATGTGCACGCAACACTCAGGTTTTGGAACAGGACTGCATTCCAGAAGTGGATGAAGAACCAGAACTTTCTGCCAGAGTTTACAGCCGGTGAACGCAAAGAAGAAGAAGATATAAACATCACTTAGCCCCCTTGTAAATTTTATAGGAGACAGTTTTACAGTCTCGCTAGAAACACCTACAGCCGCCAGCTGTTACGTGTGCACAATAGTACAACCAGAATATCCTTTCTCTGGAGCTTACCACAATTCAAGACGGCCAAAATGTCCTGTAGCCAGCTGACGCTCTAAACAGTTATTTGTTTCTAGCTAAGTTTTGCTCATACCCTATTCCGGACCGAGTGTTCAGTCGCCCAGCATTTGAACAGTGCTTGGTGCGGCACTATGAGCTGTGGGCTTTGTGTGAAATCTTTGCGTATTTTTTCTCCTTTGTGCCCGTAGCAAGTTGTTAATTTTACTTTAATAACAGGTGGCCGATTACGTTCAGACTGGCGTGTACTTACGTGGGTGCAATGCCAGTTCTAAAGATTGACTGTTTGCGCCAGCAGTAAGCTGTAATTCTGGTGTGGAAACGTTAGTGTTAGCACATCCGACAGCTTTCTTATACATTTTTTACTTTACATGTAGCTTCAAGATTCTGCTAGAAAATATCAATTTTTCATTGGTTTTCAAATGGGACAGTGAATGGCATTTTATACCATTTTCAATAGCACTTCTTCTTCAACGATCTCTGGTCATGCGCATAATCCACTGTGGGCCATAAACTGGGATGTCTTTTCAAGGTCACTTAGGTTTCACCAAAGCTTAGTTGTCAGTTTTACTGGGTGTTGCCATATGTTGCTCCGCAGCTCCGCCAAGAGAGGACAGTCTTGCAGGACATGTTCTGGAGTCTGTTCAGCACAAAGACACTGGCAGAGAGCTGTTTGGCTCATACATAATTTATTGAGTCTGCAGTGTCCAGTACGTAAGCGAAAAACTGTGACTTGGTCTGTTCTGTTCAGGTGTTTCAGAAAATCTTTTTCGTAGTTATAACCAATATTGGTTTTCCGATCTGTTTCTGATTTTCTCTTAATGAGAGTTTTGACTTCTGGAAAAGATAGTGGCTGGTAGGTATGTGGTTTTTTACTGCCTTCCTTGGCTAAAGCATCAGCGCTTTCATTGCCTTTGATTTCACAGTGAGATGGAATCCACTGCAAGTGAGTTTCTGCCTTTTGTGACAACATAGCAAGTTCCTTTGTTAGACTGTAGTGTGCTGTCGGTAGGTTTGGACTCAAGGGCCTGTAAAGCTTACAGTGAGTCAGTGAGAAAAACCCTCTTGCCTGCGGTGATTTGCAGATTGTTCCTATACTGTGTTGCCATCAACAGGCTGAGAGCTCTGCCTTGTAGTTAGAGCAAGTTAGTCCGGTGGGGGCTGCCAGGGACACAGTTGTGGCATCTGGTTGTTTTATGTAAACACCTGCTCCACCATTCGTAGTTGCCTCTTATGCTGATCCATCTGTGTAGATTCTTGTCCAGCTGGCCTGTGGCAACATGTTGTTGAGGTGTTCCATTGTGAGTGCTTTCCTTTCTAAAGTGGGCTCAGCATTTTTGTTTCCCAGGTTCGAAAGATAGCTCTTCAGGTGTACATTGTTGGTTAAGTAGTGAAGAGAATAACTTTCTAAATTCCTTTGTTAGATGGTTTAGGCTTGTGCGCTTTATTCTGTTTTTTTTTTTTTCCTGGCTGCCAATGTTTCGTGTAGTGGGTGGTTTAGCATTCTGTTAATTTTCTCCGCATGTAGAATTGATTTTGTCCTTCTTCTTTCTTCTAAGGGGAGGATGTTGGCTGCTGTTTCCATTTCTACAATAGGTGTAGATTTTATGACTCTCAGAAATGTACGCAGACTTCGGTTTTGCGTTTTGTCTAGTACCTGTTTATTGGAATGGGCTGTTGTTATCCACAATGATGATGCGTATTCGAGGGTTGGTCTGACTGTGCCGGTGTATACCTGCTTCAAGTGGTGCCTGCCAATTTCTTCATCCCACCTTGTTTTCTCATAGCAGACGACTGTCAAGCTTGACTCATATGAAGGTTAGAGTATTGGGGCGTAGAACAGCATCATTGCTGAATTTTAATGTAAACTTTTCCTCCTTTGTAGACAATTAGAAGAGTGTTGCTACAGTTTTGTTCTTGTTTCAGTAACACAGGAAAGGAGCACTTACGTGGGGACCCGTCTACAGTTATGCTGGAACCTCGAGTTTATTGACTGGCTGGCACCTTTCTGTCCTTCCAGACGATAGTGTTCTATAGCGGCAGGAATGAAGTTCATCCTCTCCATCGTACATAGCCTGCGCAGTTTTGTAGACTTTATGTTGTCCATGTATTATGATCCCTTTCTCGATCTGCCTTGTGTACTCCAAAGGAAAGGCAACACCAGTACGTTAGTAGACTAGATGACAACCAGCTAATTAACTGGGACGGTGTAGAGTTGACTGGTCCTAATCCTGAGGATTTAGGGCCCATCTGGCAAGTGTAGTCACCACGAAATAAGCATTTGTACTAACAACAGAGTGAATGAATATTTGAATCAAAAACTGTGACATCACTGCTCTTGGGACATTCCAATACATCACATTCTCAAACGTTTTCTGTCCTCTTCTTCAGTAGCCAAAGAAGAGTCCATAATAAAATAGCTCACGGCCCAGATGGGCGGCAGCAGCTCGCCACCTTGCACACCTGAATGTGAGCATAAAATCCCTTTGCAGTTGGAAATCAAAAAGAGTAGCCTAACGGCAACATTTGAAATGAAAAAACTACCCAGAGTATTTCAGGATCCTCTCCGGTCTTACAGTGCCTGTGCACTGTGCTGAGCTTCTTCGGACTCAGACTTCAGTTAGAAGAAGAACGGAGCACTTTTAGGTTGTTCAAAACCTCAAACCTCCCGTGTGCCTGTTGCTGTGCTGGAGTCACTGGTGCGATCCCTGGGTGCTAGGTTTCTGCTCTGTGAAGCCTAAGGGTCAAACCAAGCAAACCGCTATATCGCCACCACTTTCTACCCCCTCCTCTCATATTTGGGGAAAAGGGGGTAGAGCTCAATGGTACCGGGGCCTCTTGTGCCGGGGTTGTCATGAGCCTCTTGTGCCGGCGTTGTCATGGGCCTCTTGTGCCGGGGTTGTCGTAAGATGGGTTGTCGGCATTCTCTGGAACGTAAAACTTTTTTACTGAACGTAAAAACTGACCACATACGACAAACAAATACCGTAAATGGTTTGTGGCTCGACTGCAACCGCAAGGGAAGCTAAAATATGTATGTTATTTATATATATATATATATATATATATATATATATATATATATATATATATATATATATATATATATATATATATATATATATATATATATATATCAAGCGCTGTGGCGGATTGGACAAAAGTAATAGCAGAAGGTATCGTACCAGGAAGGAATGGCAGGGGCCGACCAACACCAAGAAAGGTACAGGATATAACTGACTACTTGAATGTGAAATTACACGATGCGGGAGAGCTGGCGAGAGACTGAGTGTCTTTTATGCAGACCGTGATAAGAACGACGCTCTGCAAAGGACCTGCTACATGATGATAATGATGCAACCGAAAGGCTCAGAAAAGGAGACAAAAACATTTTAATATTTAAACAGTGTTCTACTGACCAGCGGCGGCATGTGACAAGCATCCACCTGCCCGCGAATCTTATTATGACAGTCCACAATCGCCTGCCTTTCTTTCGGGCCCCATCTTATGTTCTGCGAGCGACACTCAGCCACAAAAATGGCCATAAGCAGCAGTTTCCGGAAGTCCATAGCCAGCTTGTAATAGAAATAAAAAGACACGAAATGTTAAATAAATGTAAATGAGCCTTTTTGGGGACGTAGAACTTGGTCTATATTTTTTAGACCAATCAGCACTAAGTTGGTGATGTGGTCAGCAACACGCCGGCCGCCTTTACATTTCAGGACTTTTTCTGGTACCAATCTAAGCCTAGGTGGACCTGGGAGCCAAGGTCATTGTTGAAAATGTCTGGCTCAAGACCTGAACCCACGACCCTTAGATATGCAGACGAGGCACCCCACCACGGCAGCTCTTCGATTTTTTATAATAACATTAAACCTACGTACTGTACACACTTTAGATATTGGGCCTAGCAATTTACAATTTACTTCACTAATTCTCATTCATTATCGTGTCTTGGTGTCTTGTGTTAGCGATCGTCCCACAGCACATCATTTGATCTCCAAAAACAAGTATCTGTTTCAATGCTGACATCCTTCTATTGTTCTTCTTGCCTAAAAAAAAATTTTCCTTTTTTCATTTAGCTCTTTTCAGCGTCAGGCTTTGAAGAGGCATCGGGTTGGGTCATTGATGTTTGCTATGTCGATCTTTGTATTCACGACCTCGGAAAATCCAACTATCAAAAACCTGGCTGTTCGACCTCGAGTTTGCTTCCGTTGTGTCTAAGCAACATGGCTCTCGATGTTGCACTTATTGTTGATAGTCTTGACACATGTCTGAGCCATTTGATCTGTTGTCTCTTGATGTAGTTTTGTACAGATTTGCCTCCCCCCCCCCCCCCCCCCACTTCCACCTCCCCCACTGTTTTCCTGCTATCGTCAGGTATAAGTTTAAATGAAATTAGATTAAATCTTGCTCGAAGAAACATTATTTCATGCAATGACAAAAGGCCAACAAGAAAATCAAATTTTTTCTCCTGTTGTCTTCCTTCATCTCTCCTTCTGTAAATCATTCTTGTTGTCACATGTTCCAGTTTTGCTTTTCTTATAATGATGCAAACAAGTGACTGCTCCTTTTGATGTCTGTGATTAGCTGTCTTCTGATCGTAGCCTCCTTTTTTTTTTTAAACATTGTTTTCTCCTTTCCTCTGTGCAAGGAATTTCACTCATGCATCTGTGAAACATAGTCTCTGAAGCCTTTGTAAATTGTTTTTTTTTTTAAATAATTATCCATGATTCACAACCAGTTTTAAATCAGGTTCGGTCAAAGAAGCGGGAATTCATTCTCTGCCAGTCAGTGACAGAGATTTAGTGCATGAAGTGTTTACAAAATCAAGTTAATTTGTATAAAAAGGTAGAAGTTTAAGTTCAAGTTTATATATATATATATATATATATAATATATATATATATATATATATATATATATATATATATATATATATATATATATATATATATATATATATACTAGCTGTACCCGGCCACGCGTTGCTGTGGCGTAATTTGACTACATGGAAAATAGAGAACATAGAAATGTGTCTTCGCTTCACGCTAGCGATGTACAGAGCAACAGCTAAACCACAGCTAATAAAACTGGTTACAAAAGTGGTTATTTGGTTATCACATGCTAAAGCTGTTTGTATTTTTATAGGAGACGGAAGTAAAGCTACAACTGTACTTGTAAATAACAAAGTAAGTCGTAAAAAATAGAAAAGCTGAGGTAGCGTTAGTAAAATATAAACAAATTAGGTAATGAGAACTTGAAAATCACGTGTAAAGCTCTTTAAGTTCTCTTAAATTTAAGTCATTACCCCCTCCCCTCCCCTCTTCCACCGACTACTGCTCTCTCCCTCTTAGAAGGATTTGAAAATCACTAACTGGCGATATTTTGTTGTTGCTGTAACTGACATCCCTGTCCATCTGGACTAAAATAAGGAGCAGGAATTGTAAAAGGTAGTGAATAGGGCTAGTGAAATATTTACCACATCATCCTTCAAGTACCAGTACAACTACTAAAATAATGTCACTGCTATCTGTGTTACCATCGGAGTAGACAGAGAGTCGTGAGCCAGAAGATTTGGTTCCGCATGGCTAGTGCTGTCGCCACAGACTGGTCAGGTTAGGATGTATAATTTCACTTGCCGACAGAAGAACGCCATAACCTTACCGGCGGTCTTAACATGAGAGCACTATGGTGTAACAGCCCAACCACAACTATTACTGCTGCTGCTACTTTAAGTGGGTAAAGCAGTTACTGTGACTTAAAGCTCTCTCAGTTAATAGTTTGCCCCCCCCCCCCTCCCCCCAAATTCACCGACAACTCTTTCCCACATTGAAGTAGTTAGGGGGGAAAAAAACAACACTTGAAAAGCAAATGAACACAGGAAAAAAACACCATAATTAGGAAATGAACGCCATTGTAAACAGCACAGCTTAAAATTCCAACACAGATGAAATAACTAAATCTAAATGAAAATAAATGAAAATCTATAAAATTCAGCGTAACCATGCAATCGGAAAGTTTAACAATGCAATCATAAGTATGCGAAATGGTCAAATTTAATTATCAAATGGTTTACCCATTTACTGGTTGTTTTTTTTTTTTTTTTTTATATTAAGGCAACATGGCTAGTGCTGTCACCACGACAGAGCAGATGAGGATATTATTTTAGTCCGGGGTAAAAAAAAAATTAACTACTGCGGATTCGAACCCAGGTCTACCGCACTTGAACCCAGTGTTCTAACCATTCGACCAAGCAGCCACTTAGTCGGAACAACGAAAAGAGAACACAACTATTAGACATATGTGTCCCTACCACTGTGTCGCGATTAAAACACAATTCAAAACCGCAGGCAATTGTTTTCTCGTAGACAGATACTCCAGATATATTAATGAAATAGAAATCGCACGTGTCTAACACGGTTAATGAAGTTAATGTCGCAGTCACTGTCTCCCCCGACGTCGAGATAGTCCTCGATTGCCCCCCCCCCCCCCCCCCCCCCCCCCCCCCCCCCCCCCCCCCCCCCCCCCCCCCCCCCCCCCCCCCCCCCCCCCCCCCCCCCCCCCCCCCCCCCCCCCCCCCCCCCCCCCCCCCCCCCCCCCCCCCCCCCCCCCCCCCCCCCCCCCCCCCCCCCCCCCCCCCCCCCCCCCCCCCCCCCCCCCCCCCCCCCCCCCCCCCCCCCCCCCCCCCCATTGAAGGTTGTTTGAAAAAAAAAACAGAAAATAGAAATCGTGTTTAATATGGTTATTGTGGCAAATATAGAGATAGTCTTGTTTGCTGTAACACGACCTACTCTATGTATTAGTATTAGAGAAGGCGTTGGCTGCACGTAACTCGCCGGCGAATGGTAAATACGGCGCATGCGCAATTACTAACGTGGCTATAATTAGAAATCACTAAAGTTATAAATATTAGTTGCGTATATTTTGGCATTAATTGTGGTCACCTATCTCTAACAGTGACAGGTTGAATTTCAAACCACGACGGTTCAAAATCCGGGTATCACAACAAACATATCCTGAAAATTTCAGCTAAATCGGTTTCAGTAGTTTCCGAGTCTATAGGGGTGAAAACAAACACACAAACATTGATTTATATATATATATATATATATATATATATATATATATATATATATATATAGAGAGAGAGAGAGAGAGAGAGAGAGAGAGAGAGAGAGAGAGAGAGAGAGAGAGAAACACATGGGTAAAAATGGTAAACAGTAAATGTTCTTCTTCTTGTTCTTTAGTTTGCCTGATATGACTGCGTCCCAATATGGGATGCAATATATTTTTTTTTTTATTTTATTTTAAGGCCCCACCGTGGCTGTCGACATTGGTTCTTCTGGGACATGCTCATGGGAGATTCTCATCTGAATCGTAGCACTTTGTATCACCAGGTGTTATTCGCTCGCTGTGCGTTCCTGATGGGATTGAACATCACTTACTCACTCGTTCACATAAAATAGATATCTATATCTGCAATTTTGTCTCTAGTATGAACTCCCAAGTCTGTGTAGGCGCAAGTTAACTCGCTAGAGTAAGAAGAAGAAGGATAAGGAAAAGGAGAGAAACAAATGTATTCGTATCCTATGCTCCTAATGAACAAGTTTAAATTCGACCTGACCGACTTCATTACACGATATCTTTTCACGGTAGACCTTCGTGGCGAAGTGGTCGAGCCGTTTGAGTCGCGCTCTGAAAATCCTGGGATCGTTTCAACCGCACATCTTTCGGTTCACAAGTGTAGTTTTTACATAGATTCTTAGGGAAAATGTGGGGGGGGGGGGGGGGGGGGGAGGTCGTCGCTGAAGCTACTGAAATGTGGCTTTCGGCGACGCTTATAAAAGGTAGTTAGACTGAAACCGAAACATGAGAGTTAAGACCCGGAACAATAAAGTCAATTCTCTCTACTTCAACTTTAGTATTTTATCTCATTCAGACACTGTATTCGGATTTTGCCCATTTCGTTTCAAAGGCTCCATTGGGGGGCGGAGACGGCGATATACTCACTGTAATCTTTACTTTGTAAATGGCAACTAATTAGGTTTGTTTCTTTCGAAGTCAGAAGGCATCTGCTTGATATGCAAGGAATTAACAGTCTGCATACAAATAAGCCAGATCTGTAAAACGGATGCGCGAGGTTCACGGAAGTGAACGAACAATCAAAATGTTCCGCCGGAGTTTACAACCGGTAAACGCGCAGAAGATAAAGAAGATTCGGATTCAGTCCCGGAAAACAGCAGAATTTATTACTTCTACAGGTGATCCTGCCTCATTTGCTCTGTCAGTTTCAAGTTCTTAACACGCATTTATTGGTTAATGCTAATCGCTTTCCTAACTCTCTCTCTCTCTCTCTCACTCTCTCTCTCTCTCTCTCTCTCTCTCTCTCTCTCTCTCTCTCTTTCTCACGCACACACACACGTACATTCAGTTTAATATACAGAAACACATATCTGAGTAAACATAAATCAATTTAACTGTTGACGATAGAATAAGGGCACATACACGCGCGCGCGCACACACACACACACACATTTGGTGGCTCAAATATTAGACTTTTGAAGAA